TTTTTCCATCTTTGACTGCATTGCCTTTCCTGGTTCTCTTGTGTCTCCTGTCTTCTCAGTCTTAACCATCTCCTGCCCCTCAGAAACTCTGTCCTAGGCCATGTTCTCTTCTCTCGCTGTATTTCTTCGTGACCTTGATCGCTTCCATAGGTTCAGATATCATCTCTACAGGAGTGACTCCCAACTATACATATATTTGTATATATTCGTATGTATGTATTTTTGAGTATCAATTACACATATTTTGGAATATAGCTATATGTGGAATATGTCATATGTGGCAATATGTGTTTGTGTATATATACATACTCTGTCTATACATATATGTATATATTCCATTGCATCTTTCTTCCTTCACCTCAAGTCCCATATCATCATCTGCCCTTAGGCATCTCAAACCAAAAAAAAAAATCTAAAACAAAAGTCATCATCTTCCCCACCCTACCCCCACCCCCCAACTTGCCCTTCCTCATAGCTCCATTATTTCTATTAAGTGTACCACTGTGCTCCCAGTCAACCAGGTTTATAACCCTGGAGTCATCCTCAACTCTTCTCTCACCTGTGTCCCAGTTAATTACCAAGTGTTGTCAGGTCTTCTTTCATCCTTCCCCTTCTCCCTGCCCATGGGATTCCCACGGTAGCTGAGCTTTCACCTCCACACTTCTGCTTCCACGCTTTCCCTTCTTCCATCTTTCCTCCACAAGGCTGCCAAAGTACACTTCCTAACATTTTAATCTGGCAGTATCATTTCCCTGCTCTTAAAAGCTGTCAGTGGCTTGCCACTGTTTATAAGGATAAATTATAAATAGTAGCATTTAAGACTTTCTACTATCTGTACTTTTCTACTCTTATTTCATTCCATTCTCCTTCACAACCTCTATGTCACAGCCAAACTAGACTGTTTTCCTTTACTGAACCTAGCTCTTCATCTCCTACTTCCATGTATTTGTACAAACTCCTTTCTATACTGTTGGCTCTCAGAATCATTGTCTTCCTAGAAGGTTCTGTTCAGGTCTCACCTTCTCTGTGAAACCTTCCCTGAGTCCTTGATTTGTTATTGTTCAACCCTTTCCTCGGTTTTCTTCACATTGTATTTCTTCATGTATGTTTTCTCCAAGTAAAATGTAGGCATCTTGAGGGCAAGTACTCAAGTACTATTTCATTTTCACCTTTTGCATTTTCTTATACACAATAGGTACCTTGTAAATGTTAAATTGAAGTAAAAATACACCAAAGCCCACTCTCAAGCAATGTCTTAGAACAGTGAACATCTAGAAAAGCCCAGTAACTAACAGAGCAGTTGCTGGACATGCCGTTTGACTCCAGTCCAACTATCAAACCAAAAGGCAATGTTGTATATAGCTACAGATGCTAATCAGAGGGTAAGAGCCTCTCTATGTAAGCGAAAAATTAAGAATATAAGTGCTCAAAAAGAAGTCAACTAACCTAGAATCTGGATGTGAGAGTGTCCATGACAACAAAGAGAGAGTAAAGTAAAAAAGAACTACCAGGAACCTGTTTCAGAGAGATGGTCATGAACGCTTATACAAGGATGGTGAAGGTGGCAGTGGAGAAGAAGGAAAAATGTGAGCTGGATTGTGAAGGTAGAATCAATATGACTAACTGATTAGGCATAAGATGTGTGAGAAAAGAAAAGAAAGGGATATTCTCAAAGTTTTGAACCTGAGACTGGCTGAATAGTATTACCGATGACAGAAATAATGTCTGAAGGAGCAGCAGGTTTGAGGGAAACAGTAAAAAACTTTATTTGGAACACTTTAAATTTGAGCTGTTTATATTCACTTGCATTATTTTTGCCTATTTTATAAGGTAATGTCACTTGTACTTTGACATTCACCTTAATGGTATCTTCCAGATGAATTTGTATTCTAAAAAGATTGGATTGTTTTAGACTTGACTTCCTAACAATGAAATTAAGGATTTGCTGGCAGAAGTAGTTTCTGGGTTTTTTATCATCTCATTGTGGCAGCTATTGTATGTCAGTTAAACTTTTTCAGGTAATGGTAATGAGGCCTATGTATTTGCCTCTTTTTTTTTTTCATTTTCCATCCACAGGAGCTAATGTGAATAGGTCTGCGTAAATGATTTGCAGTTGTTTATGTGTCTTCTCATCTTTGTTCTTCTAATTTAAAGTTGATATTTATCTTTGTTTTAACTAGTCAGTGGTCTGATTGAACACAGACACCTGATTCTAATATGACAATATTATAATATAATATCTAATATGACAATATGATGATAATATTAGCAACAGTCAAGTTCTAGGCAGTTTCATTTTTTTGTTGTGTTATTCAGTGTTACCCACATCCATTGCCTTCTGACTCTCTTCTGCTGGGAAATATACATTGTGTGAGATACACCATGGTACAATGGAAAAGCTATTGAATTTGGGGCCAGAGGACTTGCACTGAAACCCCAACTCTGCCACTTTTTGTCTTTGTGTGACCTTGGGAAAATTATTTACTATTCATAGGCCTCATTTTCCCAAATTGTAAAATTTCAGGGTTGAACTAGATGATCTCTGAGTTCCCTTTCATTTTCAAATCTGTGATTCTCTAATAAAATCTGTAGACACATTTTGTGGAACAGATATATAGATCTTTACTGACTTTACCACACCCAGAGATCATAATCATAATTATGAGCAGTATGACCACTGTACATTTCATTGAATTCTGTGATTCTGTAACCACATTGGACTGTTTTCATGAACATACTTAAGTATTCTTGTTCACATTACTTCTACACCTGGAATAGATTCTTCTCTCCCTATAGCACACATACCTAATCTGTACCTGTTATCCTATTCATCTGCCAATACCTACCTCTAGTGCTACTTTTTCCTGGCTTCCTTTCCCCATCAGAAGTGATCAATTCCTCATCAGAGTTCTCTGATGTATGCTTATGGTGTTTCTGTTTGTGTATGTGTCTAGGCTCCCCTGCTATGTTGTGAGTTCCTTGAAGGGTATGATCTATGTAGCATAATAACAGCATCCACCTCCTGTGAGGATCAAATGAGATGATATTTGTAAGGCATTTAGCGTAGTGCCTGGCATATAAGAGGCACTGTATAAGTGTTGGCTATTATTATTAGTTATTAATATTTGTATATTGATGACTCACATTTCTATAGTTTTTTAAAATTTGTTTCATGCTTTTCTTACAACCTTGTAAAATATGTAGTATAAATATTATCATCTCTATTTTATACATAAGGAAACTGAGGTTTTAAGAATTTAAGCTGATTTGTCCATTTTTATAGTCTAGTAAGCCAAAACACATATCTAGGTCTTTCTGATGTCAAGCTGAGCTATTTCCACACATCTATGGCAGGCTACATACTCAGCAGCGCTCAACACAGGTCCTACTTTACACAGGGTAGATCCTTAATAAATTTTTGAATTTGAAATGCTTGTTGAATTTTGTTGTTACTGTTAATTAATTCACCTAAAAAGTCACCTTATTATAAATAGTAGGATACTGAGCAAAGTAGGCTTTGAGGAAATAGTCTGACTTCTGCTGCATTTTAGGAATACTGTGTTAATCACAGTCAGGTGAAGGGAGCTTCTTCATGGGGATATGGTAGAAAGGATTCATGTATTATACAGGAAATTAGACTAGTCACCTCCAACTCTAGCCCTGAGAATTGATAGCTCCCTCTTAGTTCTGGTGTGTGGTATAGGCATCAGCTTATTGTGATGTGATCTACTTGAGTGAATTTGGGGGCTTCTTTACAATTGAACAAACATAATTTCCTAGATGGGTTTACCATAAAGCAAATGGTAGCCTTTCACATTTCAGAAACAAGTGCTCACACAGGATGAATAAAAAGAAATGTGGGAAACAAAAGAAAAATGAGGATTGACATATGTCACATGTATAGCATCAGCCAAGCCTGCAGACCTACCTCTTGGCCTGTTCAAAAACTGCTACTTATGTGCTCCTTTTCTGACGATGATGTACAAACCCTAATTTAATTGGATAAAAATTCAGAAAAGTTTAAGCTACCAAAAATTGGCATTTCTGAGCAACCCCACTGGTAAGTGAGCTGAAAATTTCTACCATTAGCAGTTTCATTTTGTTAATCTTGTTTCAAACCAAAAGTAAGTCAGTGAACAATAGCAGAATTGCCCAGTGAAACTTCCTCTAATTCTCCAACCAGGATGGGATGGATGGGGTGCACTCATTTCCCTGCTTTGCTGCTGTTTGTTGGAGTAAGACTCTTAGTAAGATGAAGGAAGCTTGAAAGCACTGATGTGTATAACAGTGCCATTTTCTTCAGTATATCTAAATTTGAATCTGAATACACAATGGTTCTTTATAAGTTTGCTCTCCTTCACAGCTTTCAGGAGTGGTAAAGTTTTTATTATGCTGCTGCCAAAAAAATGTTTGTGGTGATTTTTTTGCTGTTATTGTTTAATCCACAAGTTATTTTGGGCATCTCTCTTAACATTTATTAGTTAATACTCAGTAAAACATGAATGAGCAATATTGCATTGAATTTTTAGCCTCCAAGTTTCTTATGCTGCTTGAATTGTGGCCTTTGGGTTGCTATGCACTGTTAAATACTTTTCATTTTTGGAATATTGCTTTTTTTCCCTGGGAAAATTCAGTAAGTGAACAGGAATTTCCTCTCCTCAATACTGCTTCATTTGGCAGTGTTTTTTGGTCCAGCTCTGAAGACAATGTCATGATAAAGGACCTTCTCACAATGTCAGTATTGCTCTGCTTTGGTATATCTGGAGAAGGGGGAGAATTCCAGAGCTCTTTGTAGGAATCCTTTCCAAACAGGCTGAAACCATGGCTTCAAAAGCTGCTCTGTAGGCTGAAGAATCCCTCTTGTCAATTTCCTCACCCCCTTCCTGCCCCCCATTCAGTGTGGAAAGCAAGGAGCATCTCTCTGCTGGTGCATTAAAATGAGCTGAAGGATGCCAGGGTATATGCGCGTGCGTTTTCCCCTCCTTCCCCTTCCCCCTCCTTTTCCCAACACCCCCTCCCTTCCTTCTCCCTGTTTCCCTTCCCCCTCAGTATTCCCCTTCTCAGTGTCTCAGTTCTGCAGTAAACGAGACTGAAGCACATTCCGGCTTTGCAAAGCTTGCTGTTTGGGGATATATTATGGCTTTTGTTTGGATCGAAACATACAGAAATTTCAGGTAATGCTTTGAAAACTAAGCTTAGGCAAGTGAATTCTGTCAGGATGTTTTTGAGCAGGAAAAATGTTTCTCTTAGAACTAAAGAAGAAACTGACTAAACTATGTTTAATTTCATTCCTATAAATAACAGTGTAAAATGGTTTTTCATAACCTCAAGTATAATAATTAACTTGATCAGGTCCTATTCCCTCTCCCTCCCCCAAAAAACGATCAGACGAAAGCAAATGGAGGTAGATCTATTTGTACTGTACTGCATTTGGATTTTTCCTGTTGTGTGTCAGTCTTTAATGGGCTTTGCTGCTGTCTTTTCTGCAGCATTAGAGGTTGATTTTTTGGGGTAGTACTAAGGGTTTAAAGAAGTGAAGTCCCAGGCAGTTGTGTTTGATGAGGGGGTAACTGTGTTTATACCAGCATATTAGACTTGAAACGTAAAATGCTCTCTCCTTTTCTTCTATCAGCTACTCAGAGGAGACACATTGCAACTCCTGCTGAAGTCCCTAACCTTCTTCCCTTCTCTTCTGCCCCTTCCCCCTACCCTCACTTGGCTTGAAGAGAGTGTCCCTGAGGTTGGCCTCATCCCTGGTGCTATGTACAAAGTGAAGTTGCCACTATGGCCATTCCCAGGACTGGCTGCAAAGCTGCTGTAGGCTCTGGATGCCACCAGGAAGGTACAGAGCAGTCATATTTAAGGGGGAATTACACTGCAAGAAACATACAAGGAGGGCAGCACCTGGAGTAAGTGGATCGAGACTCCTCTGGTGTCATTCCCCACTCAGCCCATGACAATGACAGCAGCTGTTCCTCTGGGAGGCTGAAGCATGAAGTGAAGACGCTATTGCAGCCCTCAAGATGAACTCCACCTTGGAGAGTAATCAGACCAGCCGTCCTTTTTGCCTTCTTGCAATTAACTATTTGGAGACTATCAATTTTTGCCTCTTGGAAGTAATGATCATTATTTTTTTAACTGTGCTGATCATTTCTGGCAACATCATTGTGATTTTTGTTTTTCATTGTGCACCTTTACTAAACCACCACACTACCAGCTATTTTATCCAGACTATGGCATATGCTGACCTCTTGGTGGGAGTGAGCTGCCTGGTCCCTTCCTTATCATTACTCCATTATCCCCTTCCATTGGAGGAATCCTTGACCTGCCAAATCTTTGGCTATGTGGTGTCAGTGCTAAAGAGTGTCTCTATGACTTCTCTGGCCTGTATCAGTATTGACAGGTACATAGCAATCACCAAACCCTTGACCTATAATACATTAGTCACACCCTGGAGACTCCGAATTTGTATCTTGGTGATTTGGCTCTATTCTACCCTGGTTTTCCTACCTTCTTTCTTCTACTGGGGTAAACCTGGATATCATGGAGATGTATATCAGTGGTGTGCTGAATCCTGGTCCACTGACCCTTATTTCACTTTCTTCATTGTGATGATGCTTTATGCCCCTGCAGCTTTCATTGTGTGCTTTACCTACTTCAACATTTTCCGCATCTGCCAGCAGCATACCAAAGAAATTAGTGAAAGGCGAGCACGTTTCAGTAGCCAGAGTGGAGAAGCTGGGGAGGTACAGTCCTCTCCAGATAAGCGCTATGCCATGGTCCTGTTCCGCATCACCAGTGTCTTCTATATTCTCTGGCTGCCGTACATCATTTACTTCTTGCTAGAGAGTTCTGCTGGTTTCAGCAATCGCACCGCATCCTTCTTGACGACCTGGCTTGCCATCAGTAACAGCTTCTGCAACTGTGTCATTTACAGTCTCTCCAATAGCGTTTTTCAGAAGGGGCTGAAGAGACTCTCAGGGGCTGTATGTACCTCCTGTATAAAGCCAACAACAGCCAAGGACCCTTGTCCTTCTAAGAGCAAAGGACCCCCTAATGGATGCCATGTCTGAAATAGCTCTCAGCATGTCTGTGTTGCTGGGTGTTTTTCTTTCCAGGTATTTCTTAGTCGATTAGAAAATTTGGAACAAAAATCACATCAACTTAACTTCTGTGTTTAAAACAAGATTTTTTTGATTAGTGTTTTTGGGCCATAAGAATTAAAACAATGAACATAAATTGTTGGATACGATTTTTGAAACGTCAAGGAAATTATTCTGGTTTTGAAATAAATCATGCCATGTCAAGTACTTCTCTGCAGTTGGCATGACTGCATCGGGTTACAGGGTAGCTTCATCATCGAGGAAGAGTCTTCATTTTGTACAGCTTTACTGTGTTCTTTCCAGATATTTATGTAATATGTGTAAATGGTTTCTGTGGACAAAGAATGTCCAACTGTGGAAGTGAATTCTAGGAATCCTTATGTTTGCCAAAGTATAACTTCACTGCACATTTCAACACTGTCAATTGGGCCAAGGTAGGGAGAGTGGCAGATTTTTATGTCTCTCTTCCCTGGAATGAGAGCTCTCCACAGACTGAATAATGTGAACTCTTGAATATTAACTTTATAAATTTGCAATGAGCCGTGCAATAATCATACAATCAAGTCATGAGGTTGATAAGAAGCTGAGCTAGCCTCAGCAGTGTGCCCTGCTTCACAGCTCTCTAAAGAAACATTATGCAGGGATGTGATTTAATTTACAGGATTTGACGTGTCTGTGTATGTGTGTGTGTGTGTGTGTGTGTGTGTGTGTGTGTGTGTGTGTGTGTGCGCTCTGTGAATGTTTGAATTCAACCAAATATATCTATTACAATAAAATGTATTTTAGTAAGCTAAAAAACAGTTATCTTTAATGACATAATTGTGGCTGCAGTTTTGATCATGTTGTTAAGTAACAAATGTGTTGTTAAAATCTTATGAGAAATGATGTTTGTCTTGCTCATTTTATCCAAAGACTTTTGAGACCTTATCTATTGTAACATCAGGGAAAAGAACAGAGACTGAGGGAAAGAAAATACTGTATCTTAGGCTATAGAGTTAAAAAGAACTGAAAGCATCTATTTAAGGCTTATTTTTGGTCGTGATTAAACAGAACCAATGAAGACAACAGCAGCTAATTCCTTTTTGGAAATGTTTCTGTTGCTAGTTAAACAGTAATATAAATGTTCATTTTGGGAAAATGGTGTTAAGGAATTCTTATTTGAAAAAAAAAGGAGAGTTACAACTAAGCAAGGGCTGATTTATTGCTTCTCTGCTTACTTGAGGGGGGGGGGGTGGTCCTTATTCCCTAAAAAACTGTCCTTTTAGCCAGAGTATATAACTATAGGTTTGAAATTTGATTCTGTAGAGCTACTGTTCTAGAGAATTGATGTCTGATGGTTTGTTTTTTAAACATATCTTGTTTTGTAAACCAGATATTTAATGGATTCATGGTTTCATCATAAAGGGTACTTCCTTTCTTTACGCAACCCTTTTACTTTGAGTTACCATGCTTGAAAACATTTGTCTTCTTGTGACCAGGCTTCTGTTGATGCCCTTTTTGCATTTAGCTAAGCTGGTTTCTTAGACAACAGACATAGAGTCTGTCAGCAGCCTCATTCTTAGTAGGCCTCCTAGAGCTTTTGCTCTGCTGATATACTCTTTGAAAACTCAGGGCACCTCCACACTACATTTCAGCATCAGAAAAGGATTTTATTAGAGGAATCAGAAGGTACATTCTCACTGGAGAGTAAGCATTCCCTAAGAGCTAAGTGCTTTGTCATATTCACTTTATTTTTTTAGAGGGAGTCTTCAGAGAGGGTGTCTAATAGCTGCCATTTGGCTAGACATAGTATGAATAATAATGAAAGCAACTCACATTTCTGTAAAGCTTTACTATTAAAATACTTTCCTCAAAACCATCCTGTGAGAGATCAGTAATGTGAATATTATTCCAATTTTACAGATGAGAAAACTGAGGCTCAGAGATGCAAAGTGGCCTGCCCAGAGCCACTTAATTTCAAAAAAGCAGTTATGTATCAGATCCATGACTCAAATTTAGACTCTATCTCATGATTCTTCCAGTGTCATAGTTGCCTCTACCTGTATTGATGTTGTTCAATGTGATGAAAAAAAGGGGAGGAGGGATAGAGTCCGGTATTCATCTGAATTATTTCACGGCTCTAAGAAAGGACGGTGGGACATTGATAAAATATGTAGACAGGTTTTTTGTGTATTTTTTTAAATTTTTCTACCAGCATCCTTAGAGCCTCTGGAAAAATAGCTCATTTGTGGTTTATAAGATTTTTATGTTGTCTTAACATATATGGCATGTTTCAATTTATAGTCTGTACTATGCTGTTATGCAGAATTAATTCTCACACGATTGAGTATTTATTAAAACCCAGACTTCAACTTCTTTGTTCTCCGTAGTAGCTTGCTTGCTGTTTATTCTTGATCTGATTTTGAGCTTCTTTGCTATTCAAAGCTTGTCCTGAAATTATATTGTATTGAAAATAGCCATATGAAATCAGCTCTGAGTAGAACCCACCACTACCATTTTCTTCCTTCTAAAACGGTGTTATTATATTGTACCACTCTCACTCCTGGTTATTAAGAGGCGAAGATCCTGGAGGATGAACAGCCACTATCCTGTGTCCATGTGTCAGGCAGAAATGAAGTTTATTTAGATCTATGTGTAATATGTTTGTGAAATTTGCATTAGTAAATATTGGAATCTTGAGATAGCCAATTTTTTGTAAATAGATTTCAGAACAGGTGATAGGTTTCCTTTCTGCTTATGATACTTCTCAAGGCCTGTAATTTTTTTCTACCAGAAATGTTTCTCATGCAAGAAATGAATGCTGTTTAACTGAACAAGCATTTATGTAGCCCCTACTATGTAAAGAGCACTGTGGTTATAGAACTAAGGGAGATACCAAATTTAGATAAGATATAGCTCCTACCCTTGAGAAGCATTCAGTTAAGTAATAGCATGTGACCCACAAATAGGATCATGGGGTTTATAGCCAGAAGAGACTGTAGAGAGTACTTGTCCATTTCCCTGGTTTTTGTAGATGAGGAAACTAAAACCTAGAGAGAGAAGATGACTTGCCCAAGGTCACATAGGGAGAAAATGGCAGAACTAGGACTCCAACATGGATCTTCTTACTCTAAATCCAGTATGCTTTATACAACAGCACACTGTAACTATACATGATAGTTACATGATATAGTATGTGAGAGTGGAAAAAATAGAGTTTATGATGTCTGAGATGGGGAGAGGTCATTATTGATGGAAGGAAATAAAAGTTTTCATAGGACTGCTGACATTTGAGTTAGACTTTATAGGATAGATAGGAATTCAGCAGGTGGTCTTGAGATAGGGGAGGAATAGGGCCTTTCAAGGATTTGGAATAGCACACATGCAAAAGCACAGAGACAGAAAAGCTCCAACCATTTTGATTGGAGCATGAATAAAATGGCCAGGAGTAGGTAGAAATGAAGATGAACTATGAAGGTCTTTGAATGCCAGGCTAGCAGGTTTGAGGGTTTTGAATAGTTTGAATAAAGGAGTGATGGACCAGATGCATAAGGAAAACACATCTAGCCTTTAATGAGAAGAATGGATTGTTGGGGAAAAGTGTAGGTAGGAAAAGCTGTTAGGAGGCCATTGCAGTACTCCAGGTAGATGGCAAGAGGATCTGTATTAGCAGTGGGAGATGGATGGAAGATATACTGTGGAGAAATAAGTGTTGATAAATATTAAGTTCCTAGTAATGCCTAAGTAAGCTGCCATTCTCTTAATGACCAAGAAGAGGCTGTTGCTTTTATAAGTTTCTTTCAGTTAATATATTAACAATAGGTGTTTTTTGTCTAGTGCCACATTCAGATTCTGTAGGAGGTATTTTTATGTAAGACCTGCTGTCAGTTAGCAGGAGGGGAAATTGAGTCAAACAAGGAATTTTAAAGAAAATAACCTGACCGGTATTTGCTAATGCTTCATGCAGTCAGTGCTTCCTATTTCCATGGGTGTCTAAAGTTCCTTTTACTTCTACAATTTTAATATTTTTCACATGTCACTGTTTCCTTTTATTTGTAGAACAGTCTTCCTTGCTTGTGAGGAGTCTCTTATCTCATCATTTTATGTCTTGTTTTTATTTTCCAGTTTTTTAAATTGTCTTCATTTAATGCCACAGTTGGTAATATATAGTTCAAATACCAAACTGTATAATTCAGAATGAAAACATATATACATATTTTTAGACTCAATTACCTTACATTCTAGCAGGACAGCTCATTTAACTTTATATGGTATGTTGCTGCTAGATCTCAGAAGAGACATAAGCTTACATTCTTTGTTTTTGGAGATTTGGCAACATTGACAGAACAGTGTGGAATAATGGCAAATTCTTCCATAGCAAATTTGGAAATAAAGTTACTTTAATGCTTCATACTTAAAAATTCCTTCTGATGGTCTTATTAAAGTTCAGTCTTAATTCTTTGATAGCAGTAGTGGGTGACAGTGATTAACAAAGCCCTTATGTTCCACTAAACTGCTTTCCTGAAAAGGGTCATCAAGTACATTAACACAGAATGGATATTTGAGAGAACTTTAAATGAAATTATTGACTCTGATTCAAAACCCCGTCTGTGAAAAGTGTTTCTCTAGATTTCTTTGCTGAGCATCTGTAAAAATAGTTGACTTGAGTAATGTTCATTAAATCACTGGCATCAAAACTTGAATTTTCATATGAGAAATGCATTGTTCCAAAGCTTTGAAGTTGAAAAATGAGGACGTGATGTAAAGTCAGTCTAGCTCTGCTAGAGTGAGCTCTCTCTACCTTTCAGATTGGGGAAAAGATTTTCAGTTTTCTCCATAGATATAATTCTGTCCACTGCCCCCATCCCTCCTTAAAAAAAAAAAAGACTTAATAGAGGTTGAATATGTAGGAGATATTTTCATTTATGTAACTGTATATGTGGTTTTTTTAATCATAAAAAATTACAAATTGAATTTGCAATGGTCAGAGACCTATTGCTATGTGCAAAAAATTTGGGAGAATTTGAAGACAACTGTAGTAAGAAACTTTTCCTAATAATTAGAATTTTGAAAAATCTTCATATGAATCATTATCATCTGAGTGGATTTTTGCACTTTTTTTCAATTTCAGATAACATGAAGGAAAATAATAAATTATGCTTTTAAAAACAAAAATGATTACTACTTATGTTTTGATCAGGTTACTCTGAGATTAAAAATCTTAGGTGCTTACTCTAGTATACAAAGATACATGTTCAATACTAGGTATACAAAGTAAATACAATAAAGAGACTGCCCTCAAGGAAGAAGACAACATGTCTGTGAGTAACTGATACATAGGAGTGCAGTAAGTACAAAGGAAAGTTCGAGGTGAATTTCTGTGTGAAACCTAAGAGGAAGAAAGTACTTTGACTTGAGGAATCACTGAAGGCCTCTTCTTTTGTTGGTCCTGGAAGAGTTAGAGGAACTTTGAAACACCAAGAATTGGGGTAGCCATTCCTTCCAGGTGAAGAGCAAAGACAGAGATTAGAGAGTGGAGAATAGTCTACTTTGGATGAAATTAAGAGTATATGAAAGGCCCAAGTATTACATAACTCTAAATAGATAGGCTAGAGTAAGATTGTAGAAGTCCTTAAATGCCAGAATCTGTAATTTAGATTTTAATTGGTAGGAAGCCACAGAAAATCTCTCAGTAGAAAAGCAAAATTCACATCTTCAGATTTGTAAACATTTCATTTTGCCCTTCTTCACAGTTAGGTAAGAAGCAGGTCGATGTTCCTGCCATCCTTTGGTGTAAGAGGTAGCATGGTATAATGGAAGGAGCCCTGGATTCAGAATCAGAAAGCCTGGCTTCAGATCCCAGTTCTGTCACTACTATTACCTATATAATATTGGGCAAGTTGCCTGATCTCTCCAGGCTTCAGTTTCCTCATCTATAAAAATTGAGGAGTTGGAATTGGACATCTTTAAGATACTCTAGGATAATATATAGGACATGAACTATCTCAAATTCAAAACCCAGTGCTAAGTTGCTTCTCCATGCCTCCCAGCAGCATGTGACCCCTAAAGTTAGCAAGCTGAGAAAGGTAGGGAAGGTCAGTATATTTCTTCTTTCATTTGAAAATAACATCACCTACATTTGCTTTTTTTCATATGGTGCGCTTTTCCCCTCATCATTCAGTTTTCTTCAGGGTAGTTGTAGTCATCATAGTTATTAGTGAGGCTAGGACATTGCCAGAAGTCAGGCAGGCAAAGAAGACAGCCAGTCAGGACACAACGTGATTAAGAGAATGGGATGAGGTAGTACACAAGAGATCTTTGTAATATTCCTTTTTTAATGGTAGAAAATTTCATACTCAACAGCACATGAGTGTTTTTTCTTAGAGAAATAAAGGCATATGCTCCAGGAATATTACAGTAAAGGTTTCAAGCTGCCAATTGAGTGTAACACCCAGGAGCAATAATTTTCAAATGCATGGAAGGGCACAGTTTTCAGATCTTGCCTAGGAGTGCACAAGTGACTTCTCTTAGTCAGGAAGGGCATTGATTCTTTAGAAGTAGCCCAGGGATATGCAAGGAGTCTTCCAGGTCATCTTCAGTTTGGTCTTCATTACAAGATATAAAGTAGTACAGTAAAAGGCAAACAATTTTGAGTTAATCAGTCAACATTTATTAAGCTCCTACTGTGTATCAGGCACTGTGCTAAATGCTGGGGATACAGAAAAAGACAAAAGACAGCCCCTGCCCTCAAGGAACTTACAAACTAACGGAGGAGAGGTGCAGGTATATAGAGAGCAAGCTCTATACAGGATAAATAAGAAATAATTAACAGAGGGAAGGCACTGGAATTGAGAGAGGTTGGAGAAGGCTTTTAGCAAAAGATGGGATTTTAGTTGGGCCTTAAAGAAAGCCAGGGAGGTCAGTAGTTGGGTGAAGAGGAGGGAGAGCATTTCATGAATGTATGATAGCCAGAGAAAGTGCCCATAGTCGAGAGATGAAGGATCTTGTTCTTGGAATAACCAGGAGGCAAGTGTCATTGGATTGAAGGGTACATGATGGGAAATAAAATGTAAGAAGACTAGAAAGACAGCCTAGGTTATGAGGGGCTTTGAATGCCAAAGAAAGCAATTTGTATTTGCTCGTGGCAGCAATAAGAAGCCACTGTAGTTTATTAAGTAGGAGGATAACATGATGAGACTTGTGCTTTAGGAAAATCACATTATTGGAGGATGGATTGGAGTGGGGAACCTTAAGGCAGGCAGACCCATTAGCAGGCTATTGTAATAATCCAGGTGTGAGATGATGAGGGCCTGCACTAGAATGGTGGCAGTGTCAGAGGAGAGAAGGGTACATATTTTAGAGATTTTGCAAAGGTG